CGATGCCCCCATCTGCTATAAGTCCGCTAAGACATACAGGCGTGAGGCAAGGGTCAAACCTCACCTTCCAAGTTTAAACCAATTTTAACTGAAACTACATTTCAGTGAAAAGAGGTGTCCCAGTGACTCCAGAGGAACCTGGGCTATGCGATACTTACAGTGTTCATGGCACCTTGCTAGCAGCTCTAGGTCATCTATATGGTAATAGTCGTAGCCAGAAGTACCCAGCACTTCAAAAGGCAAGTATCCTATAATCGGCGGTGCTCTGCGATTAAGCACAATATGAGTGAATTCATAAACCACGAAAGAAACAGCAGTTCTGCACGTTGACACGGATATGTTAAAAGCCCAGATCTGCTCTTGCTCATCGGTGTACAGTCGTCCACCCCAGTGGACCAGATCCTGACTTTCCCCCGCCTTGTGCCTGGGATGCTTGGCTGGGCACGGCACCTTCCCCCCAGGACAAGGCCATGACAACCCCATCTTTCCAGGGAAAATGTGGTTGTGGAAAGCAACTCAGCTTCTCAGGGACCTTCACACAAGAATCTGCTGTGAGGGAGCCATTCCCTTGCCGTTCCTTGGTCAGGGGCTCTGCTGCGGCTCCCGCAGTCCCTGCACAGGGAAAAGCACGTGGCGAGGTGATAGGAAGCCATCATCTGCTGGGACTAGGGGGGCAGGAGGGGAGATCATCTGTGCCGCTTCCCTCTGGGTGTCTGCAGAGCTCGTCCGTGGCGTGCTGAGGCAGTTGCTTTGTACCTTTGCCAGCACGGTTGCCTCAGGCCAGTGCAGACTTTCGCTCCGTAACTCAGTGGGAATTGCACACACACAATCAATGGCTGGATTTGGAAAGAATGATTTCTGCAGCTGTATAATAATTAGACGATTTTGCCATGTGGCAGACTTTGGTCCATTGATATTTTTAAAGCAAACAAGAACAAGCTAATCACAAATTCGGCCTGAGAAACAGAGTAGTTTTCTATTAAAAGACTGATAAAAATAAATGCAGGGTAAAATAGTAAATACCATCTTTTGTAGCAATTTCAGTGGTTGCCCTCCTGTTTAGATGTGAAATGTGACACTATTTGAGAGAATTGCACTTACAAAAATAGCAGTAGACAAGCACCGAACACAACAAGGCGTGCTTTTCTTGTCACCAACCTGTGATCCAGGAATAAAAATTTCCACTCCAGACTGTGTCTTGATGTGAATTCCTCTAGAGGTTCTTCCACGATGCACATCTCCTGTGTGGTGAAGAAAACCGACTTACTGAGAGTTGCGGCTTCACCCCTCTGCTTCATCTAGCTTTTGTTAGCTATAAATACATGGTGCATAAGAGGAGAAAACAGAGGATTCACACGTTTTCTGGCAATTCCAGAGAATGATCTATTGTATTTATCAATGCCAACATTTCTGCAGGAGTTGGGGAGAAGAACTTGTGATGCACATGGACTTAAGAGCCGTGACTGTTCCTCAGCGTGCCCAAGTTTTTATGGCTTTGAAGCAGTGCCCGGGGTGTTAGAGCTGTGCTCCCTACGGCCCCGAGGAGCAATGCCCCTTCCCAACATCCAGCCTGTGCTTGGTCTCACCTGGGTTTGCCACTTCTTTCCTCGCTCTCTTTGTGTTACTAAAGATACCCACCGCCCTTGCCCGGCCCTTTTGGATGTCTGCCCTCTGAGCCCTCTTTGAGAAAGGGGGACACTCCTTCCCACTCAATAGCTGGGTGCACTATGCGCTGTGGAGGGAGAAATGCCTTTTCAGGCAGGCAGCCTGTGTGGGGCCCATCAGGCGGGTGAAAGGCAGAGGTTTTGCCTTGCGCTTGGACCCTCGGCACCCCAGTGCCAGGTGGGAAGAAGCTGGCCCTTAAGACTCATAGCAGCCCTTGGCACTCGTGAGAATGATAAGTAATAAGTGAATTACAGGAGGCAGGGCACAGGGCTGCCTGTGAGGCAGGACATCCTTGGCCCAGAGGGATGGGGATCAGATGGTGGTGATTAGTCATTGGGTGGAGGTGGGAAGGGGAGGAAGGATGGCACCGCGGTACACGCCCGTGCGTGGGCTGGGGCTGGCTGCCCGCCTGCAGCTCCCCTCTGCCGACCTCTCCTCTCCCAATGGTGGTTTGCAGGGGCAACTCCAGCTCCACGAGCTGTCAGCCTGGAGACCCCTGGATGGGACTTGCCAGCGTCAGTGCTCAGGATTTGGTGGCATCCAGGGTTACTGTGTCTGCCATGTCTCTCCTGCAGGAGGGTCTTCATTGTCACTGGTAAGGACAGCCTGATGGCTGGCCCCCAGTGCTGCTGTCCCCCTGCTCCCTGGTGCCACGTCCCCCTGTGCAAGTGACACCTTCTCATCGTCTCCTCTGCCACTTCTCTCTCTGCTGTCACTCTCAGGGAGAGAAGACTTTCAGGCCACCAATGTCTTAAAACCTCTTGGGACCAGAGGAAAAGCTGAGGTGCACTGCCATCAAGCGTTTCTTTGATATGTATCAATACTCACAAAGTTGACTAAAGTTGCTGAGTGTACATTGGCAAAAGTCTTCATGCATACCTTAAATTCCTCTCTCCCCTCCTCCAGTTTACACCAAAATCCATGCTGATGCCAAGAACATACCGTAAAATTCAAGGTGCAACATGCAAACATTGCTGTGTGCAACCAAAATGCTGATTCTGCCTTGCTTAGCCAGTCATAAATATTTTTGCCTTCATTTTAGAGGAGGAAGTCAAGACCAGTGGTTAAATGAGTCACGCAGGTGAACTGAAGACATTGTTTTTCAGGGTTTCCTGGCAGCTAACACCTTCTCCCCACTAGCACTGAGCAGCTCATTGCCGTGTGCAGCCCATTTCGTTTCCCTGTTTATTTTGAGATGTTAGCTACCCAAAGACAAGGGAATTTGCTTTCAGGGTTCCCGGAGAACCTTAACTCCAGCGTCTACTGCTAATATGATTACTGTGGTTAAGATTTATGAGAAGTGTCCTCACTTACTTACCCAGAAGGGACTCTACTTGCCTGCTGGGGCTGTGAATCAGCTGAGAGTGCCCTGCAGGTCCCTGAGCAGTAATGGAGCCAGGCCAAGGGAGCAGTGATTTCATACTGGCTAGGTCTCACTTAGACTTTTTAACCTCTTAACCTCTGAGGATGGGACGCCTGATGCAGTAGCTCACATTTGTTAATTAGGGAACCACAGTGCCAGGCACAAGGTTGGGTCGTCTATCCTTATTTCTAGAAGCAACTCTCTTACTACCAGGATTTGGGAGGAGGAAAACTAGCAGCAGTCACCTGAAGACACCGAGGGGCACAAATGAAAGCATTGGTGGCCATCTGTACAGTGTCCCATCGCAGGAACAGAAAGCGGCAATGAAGAACCCAATTTTAAAGTGACTTTGCAATTCCTAATGCAATGAGGGTTTCCATTTCCCGTGCAAGGGGGGCAGAAGTGACACCGCTTCTGCAGATCCTGGCTCACACTGATAATCCTCTTCACTGGATTTTTATGCATGAAATGTGATATCTGTAATCCATTCAATTAGCAAAATTAAGAATTTTGCATGTTACCCCGTCTGAAAGTGTTTTGAGAAGTTCTGAAATGAATGGGATCCAGGGTACGCACTTACCTTTAAAAACTGAGGCGTTGCCAAACGAACAGTCGCAACGAAGCAGACCTGCTTTCCCGAGGATGTTCTGTAAGCCCTTGGGACAGCCTCGTCAAAGCCATTGCAAGTGGAGTTAGGCACTAGGTAGGGAAAAAACCGGGACGCAGAGTCATGCCTCATACGAGATTTGCTCTCCCTGAATATTTTGCACACTTGAAGCGTACTAATACTAATTTTATTCAGAGAAGTGCTCTAAAAGCTTTTAAAGCTGATATGCATATATTTAAATCCAAGTCAGTCATGTTAGGCAGAAAGACATCAGAGCTTAACTTCAAGTATGAATCTTATAGGTTAATCCTGATAAAAATAAGGCCAAACCTTATTACAGAGCATAAACCAGCTTTCTGGAAAGAAACCCCACGCATCCAATTGCTCTTTTTCACCACTCACAAGAAAAAAATATATGCTGCAGCATGCCTAGTCCACTAACTTCCATGAGGCAATGAAAAAAAGCGTTGGCAAGGGAGATAGCTGAAGAGAGTTTGTCAAGTCATCAGTGGCAAAACACCGGGGCCCACAGCCAGTGAGGCTTCATTGAGCTAGCGAGAAGCTGCCTGTGATTCTCTGCTGCTGAAGTGCACCTTCCCCTTCTGCATCTAAGGAGAACCGTCCCCAGCGTGCTCAACTTCTCCTTGTTTTAAAGAAGAGCAAAGAGGACCCCGTGTATGGCACTGGCTTCCAGAGCTGGGCATTTCTGGTGAGTCTGCAGATGGCCCGCTGTCTCCTGAAACACTGGGCAGAAGGAAAAACTGGACGCGATGTGGCTACAGATTTTGTGTATGTTTTTTTATCTGTCTTTCGCGATTGCATGGCTCTTGTGTTGCTTTGGGGGCCCACTAGCACCTCCTGCCACAGAGATGCGTTGCCAAAAGAACGCGTTGCCTTAAGCTAGCCCGCAGTCCCATGTTAGAATGACATAATGCAAATTCTTCATCCAAATTCGAGCTGTTTAGAGATGGTAATCCTGCTCCCACAGCAGTGAAAGAAAACTGTGTGCTAAGCTGCAGTGGGAAATGGGCCGGCCCCATGGGCTCTTGCCCTGCCCAGCCGACTATCTCCCATGGGAGCAGAGAAGGTCCCATCTAGCAGCCAGAGTTCCCCAATATGAGTTAATCTAATGCTAATAGGGATTAATGCTAATATGAAACTATCTTTCCTTACTATTAGGCCCCTATATCCAACTTTAAGAAGTTTCCTACGGTTTGTCTCTTCTGCACAGGACAAAGCAAGGATGACCATGTCCATTCCTGTGAAAATGAAGAGTTTTGTGTCTATCTGGGGAGGAGATAACTAGCAATTTTTATTCTGGGGTGCTTCTGCACTGGGCTTTAGTTCACTAGCATAAACTGTAGAGATGGAAGAAGTCTCAACTTATCACATGTGCTTTTGGAACCCAGTTCAACCTATTAAAAGCCTTAGAATAATGATACATAGCTGATAAAAAGGATAACAGGACAAGAGACAGAAAAATAAGTACTCTGAGGAGAATTCACACCTGTGATTAACTGATTTAGGCCACTGTGTGCACAATATATATTGTGCCAAAAAGGGGAAGAAAGATTCCTCATCTGAGAAGGCAACGCAGATGTGAATATCCACAGAGATTACAGTCCTCTCTTGCAGTTGAGTCTGGAGGGCATGGCTGGCTGGATATTAAGATAAAAAATATGGGCAAAATTCTCCTCCTTTCACCAGCAAAGAACACTTGCTCTGGGGACTTCCTAGGAATATGTGTTCCCGTTCTGCTCCTGGGGTTATGTGCATATATGAGGGCTTCTATGTGATTATTAATACAAGAGGTGGAAAAAAAGAAGAAAGAGTTAGGAGCTACAGGAAACGGGAGAAGCCTGAGTAAAGAGTTATTGGTTCTTCTTTTTTTGTGCAAGTCTGTTGATTTCTGTAGTCAGTCCTGTTTAAAAATGAATGGGATTGCTATAAACCCACATTGTAAAAAGTTACTTCCAAGCTCACTACGTAATATGTTGTCACATTTGAAGTCAATGGGACCGTTTCTCTCTGTAATAGCCAAGTTCAGTAGCAAATGTTTGCAGGCTGGGCTCTAAGATATGAAAATAAGAAGCACATTCAGCCTCCTAAGTACAGGTATGAGAAGTTAACCTAGTTATTGAACCCACGGGCTCGCAAATGACGCCAGCTGCACAAGAAATGCCTCATGGAGACCGAGTCGCACCAAAGAGAGCATCTGGCTTTTTTACGTCGGCTGTTTGATGTAAAGAGCCGTGAGCCTGAGACAGATTCCCAGAAGAGAGCAGAATACATCCCTGAATGTGGCATTTACAAAATAGGATTATATTTCCAAGAAGTAAATGCAATACTAAAAGGGCAATAATGACCATATAGGACAGCTATGTAGTAAGTTTGGGATTTCATCACAACATTTGGGAATGTTGAACTTAGCGGCAGTGAATGAATAAGCCCAAGGAGATGAGATAGAGCTGGCCTGGCTGAAAGTCATCCCGTCTTCGGACAGCTACTGTGCCATCCCCATACTCAGCTGCCTTTGACAAAGTCCAGAGCATTAAAAGCCTCGATGATGCAGGCAGGTAGCCACCACCTTGAAATGTAAATCTCCATCTGAAAACAACAACTACAATAACTGAAAGAAAAAAACCCCACACGTTTGTTTCTGAGTTACTTTGCTGCCTGACCTATTTTGTTGGTATCTGTTCTTTCCACAGCTCTACCTGCACAGCCTGTTTTGCTCTGCTGTTGCAGCTGGTCAGCAAATTTCAACTTTTTTTTGTTGAGAAATTTTAAAGTATACTTAAAAAAAGAGATCATTACATGAATTAAAAAAATAAATCCTGGGATAATCTTTTAAGCATGTCTTCTGAAAAATCATACTTTATAATTCTCAGTCTCTTTGAAAGAAACACACAACATCTTGAAGTAGCAAAGTTTAGCAGTGAACTTTCTGAGAGCATCACAGAAAAATAGTGGAATGGAAAATATAGGATGAAGTCTGAGGCTATGATCATATTAACATTTATAAGCCAAATACAGGTCTTGGAGTGCTTTTGTCAGGAGGCGCCCGATGAAGATGTTAAGCTGGCTATAAACAGGTGGGCTTGGGTAAATGAAGGCATGTGTGTTTCTCAATTAAATGATCTAGACAAAATATCCTGAGTAGATAATTAGAAGGTTGCGTGACAAAGCTAAATACACAATTAGAAAGGTGAAACAGTTGTCTCATATCTATCAGTTAGCTGATGCTCCTTAGCATGAATTTTAATAGTTTTTGTGGTTACCTATCAGACCTGCTGCTCCTAGAACTACCACAAAGTTCTTTTGTAGAAGAAGTATTAAATTATCTGCAAATATCATATAAGAAGATAGAAAGAAACTGATTTGCCTATATACAGGTTTTTTTGGTTAGTTGGTTTTGTTTTTTTATAAAAAGGACCAGGACACTAAGGACAAGATGTTAAAAATAACTAGTATATATAAGGAACCAAGCCCTTAACTACCACAGACAAAAAATTTTTTATCCTTAGGGATACAAATCATGTCACATGAAATGAACGAGAACATGTTTAAAAAACCCCAGATGCCACATTATTCAGGTAATAATAGTACAGCAGTCAGTTGCTCGGTCATCTTATTTTAACTTAGGCTGTTTAAACCATATTCTTCCTATAACAGCAAACCTCTCATTTATGCCATTTGAAAGAAGAAATCCCTCCTTCCTATTTTGTCAGTAGATGTTAATGTTTAAAGACCCAGTCTTAGTGACTGTCAAACAAACTGAACAGTGATTTCAAAAAACACAAGCCAAACAGACCAGAATAAAGTCCAGATTGTTTCACATAAATAAATTTAGATGACAGATAAACAGAATATTCAGCAATTAATATATATAATGACGAAATCTAAAATGCTAGTGGCAAGCCAGACTGCACTCAGTAGCTTTGGATGAGTAACAGTGACGGTGTCCATACACCACTTGTCCACTTTGATCTCCTCTCTCCTCTTTCCTCCTCCTGTTTCTCCCCTCGCCATCCTCTGTTGATAGGAATCCCAAGTAAATTCTTTAGGACAGGAATGGTGCCTTTTTTCTTAAGTGCCCATAGAGAGCACGGCATAAGCGCTGCAGATTGCTAGCTGCAGCTTCTAGAATATTGTTAATAGTAAATAATAATATGCGGCTGTCGGTTCTGATCAAAACATTCATTTCAGTTTGAGTTATTCTTGTTATCAGATGTTTCTGCATATGCTTACGGAGGCTCAAGATCAATGTATCATCTTCTGTATAAATCTGTTTATTTCCTTTAAAAGGGAATTCAGATTGAATTAATTGTTCTGGGAATGAAAAGATTTTTTTTTCTCCCCAGCGTAATGATTTCCTTGATGGTTATTCTTATCTCTAAGAGATATATCAGCTAACAGTAGAGTATCTGCTATTGTTAGCATCCAGTAACCAGATACTTCCTGAGTTTCCATGTAATTGGGAACAAAAATGCACAATTTTAAATTCCACTATAATATTTAATTATATTACTTGATCAGGAACTCTTTTTGCGTAACAGTTATCTCCTCCCTTAAGAGGAAAACTTCAGGCATTTTGGATGCAAGGAGGGATCTGCCATTTTAAAGATGCTGGTGGTCCTTTTTTCTTTTGTTGAACACTTTGAAAGGCAGGACTCTGGCTTTGTCCCTCACTGGAGTTTTTAAGCAAGTATGTCACCTCAGAAGTAGGATACCAAAGCCGATATTTGGTTATATAATTGTAAGAGATCTTTTTCTGTTTACAAACGTACAAACAATTTTCACAGGAGGGATAAATCCAGCCCGCCTTATCTTTTCTTATTGGAGTGAGCTATTCAGTGGCTTTGTAAAATAATTTGTTCTCACTTGATTTGACATTTTATACTGCGAGCTAAACATTTCCTTGGATTTTTTGGAAGATTATCTTTATTACTTGCCTCCCCCCTCAGCCCTCAGGCAAAACTGGATGGGAGCCACTGCATTATTCATTGGTGATGCTGACATGACTCTGGCCCTTATCAGGTACTACTGGTCAACAGGTACAGTGATCGCACTCGGTTCCCTCAGATGTTTGCGTATATTCATCTCTCTTGTTAAAATCTGGACTACAGGGCCAGAACCTGAAATACATAAAAATATTGGAAAGAGTTCCTATTTGCAAATAAAAAAACCCAACCCTTTTGCTTTGAGAGCAAGTAGGCATTTCTCACAGAAGCAAAGAGGGAACTCCACCTTCCTCTTCTGAGTGGCCCGTGGGCCACCTCCCCTCCTCTTAAGGGACTACTGAGTCTTCCCGTCAGGTTACAGTCCTGCTTTTCTCATTGAAGCTTAATTAATGATGATTATATAATCCTCCCAAATGGAAAATCAAATCTCTTGTATTTGATTTAGCACAGCCAGTGACTCATGCAGTCACTCCGCACAGCTCGCATTGCTGTTTCGCTGGTCGGCTGCTCTCGCTTGGGCACAGCTAATTCGCGGGCGGTTCGCTCATGTGCAGGCGGCTCATGTCACATCCCTGGTGTAGAAATGTCCTTGCAGCAGGGGTTACAGAGTACCGCTTCCCGCGCACCATCACTGGGACCAGCCCAAGCGTGGACCCTCCTGCTAACCCTGGCACTGGGCTGTGCAGCTCCTCTAGCCTCCAGCTATAGCTGAGCCCAGGAGCTCCAGGGACGGTGATCTTCTGAAAGACTGAACACATGCTGTGAGCTATGTGAACTTTCCTAGGCAATTTGTGGGGGTGGCACATGCATCTCCCTGCCCCTTCTGGGATGGGGGAAAGGTGCCAGTGACTGCTCCTCTGGGAGAGTAGCATGGGTTCGATGTAGGTTGTGCGTGATCTGGCTCCCTGATGGCAATCCTGGTGACGAGTCACCTGGGTAGATATCAGGTATTTGTTCTGCTTTAGCAGAAAAAAAAATTCTCTTTGGCATCTCTGTTACAGTACAACAGCCTTTAAAGCCCCAGAACTCCCACTAAAGTTAGGGAGAGCAGCTAAGCCCCTAACTGACTTTCTAAGCCTCAGTCCTTCAAATTAATCCATTCAAACCCATCCCTATATGATGTTCTCAGCCATAAGTCACAATGTGATTAACAGAGAAGGTACGAGGGAGGAGGGAGGGGGGCAAGGTCGCTGGGACCCCAGCATGCATGACCCCCTTCCCCTAAGCACCACCATTATACGAGCAATGAACAATAATAAAATGAGCCGAAGAAGATGATCGTTCAAGGGAGGTTACGTAAAAGGTTACGTGGAAGTAAAATAAAGCTAGTGACATTTCTGTTCAAGAGGGCAAAAAAGGACCTACCAGTTCTTCAAAACATTAGCAAACATTAAGTGAGAAGGAAAGGTGAAAGATTCGTTAGGACTGTCACCGCCATGACCCTACATTAATGAGAATGGAACAGTTAAGTATCCTGACGGGATACAGCCTGCCCACGCATAAAAGAGCTTCCCTGGCCACAGGGGCTCTGGCACCCCTGCAGCAGGAACGTGCAGGCAGGTCAGACTCTCAGCAACGCTCAGCAAACCGTTGGAAACAAAGGTGGGATTTGGCGTCCGGCAGCTAAAAAGGAACGGCAGAGATTTGTATTTAGAGAAGAACATCCTTTATCAGTCTCCCATGTGTAAAAACATGCCCACACTTCCACTGCTGTGAAAAGCTACAGGGAAAAGCATTCTTGAATACATTCATAAGGAACGTCTCCTGCTAATTAAGCTTAATTTGCAATTTCTGTCTTTCTCCCCCCACAGTATGCTCAGCTAACTCTTTTCTTGTCTTTAGCTTAGCCTCCTTCCTCCACAAACACCTCCGAAAAGCAGGATTTGGGGCCAGCTGATCCTATGTGCATAGGACGAGCACTGCTCTGTGAGTGACATGCCTCTCCCCCACCACCCTTCCCACCGCTGCCTTTCTTGCCCGCTTGGCCTCACACCTGCAGGGGGGCTGGCTGGAGAATGGGTAGTTATTTAATGGAAGGAAGAAGAGAACAATTACTGGCAGGGCCAGCAGGTGACAACCCCAGGGTGCGTGGGCTGGGGGGACGGTGCCCGATAACGAGGTGCCCTGGGGTGTGGGGGGCCAAGCAGAGGCGGGAACCCAGCCCACGCTGCGCCCATCAGATGCTCAAAGGGGTCTGTGCCGCAAGTCCCTGTGCCAAAGCACAGCTGCTTGCCTCCAGCCCCGGGGCTGGAAAGCTGCGTTCATACGGTGCTTGCTTGAGCTGATGTCCCCCATGCCTTGCTCAGGGTGCAGCCGGCTGACGCAAGAAGCCCGGTGGAGCTGACGACAGCCGCTTCGGAGGTTTGCACCCTCCTCCGGCTGCTCACTCTGTCCTTGGCCCAAGGTTATCAGCTCCCAAGCAAACAGTTTGCTGCTGCTACATCGCGAGTCTGGTGCACTTGCTTCCACTTTTGCTGGGAGGTGGTTTTGTGGCCGGATTAGGAGCCAGGCTGGCGGGGGAGCGGGGGACACAGGCACAGGGGGCCATGGGGGCGACTCCTGGCCAAGGGGGAGCAGCGCTGGGGACGCTTGCGTCTCGCACTGGTGAAGCAAATATTTCCACCAGGCTCTGCACTGAACTGGGGAAACTAATGAGGATGGGCAAGCCGCCGTCCTGCGATGGGGAGAGGGGAAAGGGGCCAGGAGGCACCATCTCACAGAGCGGGGGCAAGGACCATCCCCTCCCTATCCACCGGAGGGTCAGACTGCAGCAGGGATGGGAAGAAATCAGAAGAGACAAAATAAAGTGGAAGATTTAGAGAAAGGTGGCACAAAGAAAAAAAAAAAAAAAAATTGAAGCAGAAAGCACATGTCCTATTTGAAAGCATAAGCTGGGGTCTTCGGCAAATGATTTGGTGTCTTCTGAAATCAATAGGTTCCCATTTAGTTTATATGCATTAACCTAGGGAAGATATCTGTAATGCAAGTTTTATCCTTCTTCTGAGAAATAGCCACTGATACAAATGCTGGGATATGAAATCCTAACGGGTAAGAGGGCAATATTAAGGTCACGCCAAAATAAAAGGCTGAAAATCCTTGAAGAAAATGGATCAGAAATTCCCCTGGTAGAAATGTATCCTTATGAGTCAGCACCTGAAATCCGGTTTCTGCTCTAGAAAACAGAACAGCTTGGTGCGTGCGTCTGTCAGGCAGCCGCATTTCGCTTCATTCAAACTGGAAAGCATACAGGCAGTTACATTTTTTATACAAATAAAGCCTCAAATCAGATGGCACCAAACAAGAAATACATATCTGCATCCTGCACGTAGGCTTCTATTCTAGTCATGTGGAGCAAGAGCAGAAAGTTAAACGGGGACAGGGACATTTTTTTTCGCAGTGTGGCATGCATTTTTTGGAAAGCACGGTGGGGAATTTTTTTCTGAGGATGACCTATTTGGAAGAATACCAGCAACTTTGGAAATGCCACTCTGGAGTTCAATCAGGCAAGTAACTAAAGCAAACTTGGGCAGGCAGGAGAAGGGAAAGTAATAAAAGAGTATTTCATTTCTGACACTAATGGCCGTGCAGCAATCTGTTTGTTAGGGAACGGGCGAGGTGGAAATCTGCTCTTCATCCTTTGAAAGATGGTTTCCCTAGACTGAGTGCAGTGCATTAGCGACTATGCTGACTGTATTTCTTTCTTTTTTTTGAGAGAGAGAGAATTGGGTTCTGCAGTGCTGGAGAGGAATGTAAAATGGCAGCTGGAGAGGGAGGCGGGTGGAAGGGTCCTCAGCCATTCCGATGCCAGCAGCAGAGGACCCCTCACCGCAGCGTGGGGCGGTGGGTGCAGGCACTCAAGTATGTGGCGCTGCTGCCTTTCCCCAAAATTTTCCAGAGAACGGTGAGAGGGCAGATTTGGCAGATGATCAGTTCTGGCACAGAATTTGTGTTTAATGTAGGCCAGCAGATAAGGTAGCAAACTTATTATTCAGCTAATAGGTACAGTCTTAGCACACAGTGTTAGTGAGCACAAACAAGCCCTCCTCTGAACCTGTCATTATTTGCAAACTTACCCAGAGTCCAGGATCACTGCTAACAAGTGAAGGGCAGTATCAAAAGCAACTAACACAATTTCACTCTTCATAGGTATTCGTTCAGCTTTTGCAAATCAGCTGCGAGATCCATGTGAAGCAAAATTTACCCCATAATGTTAAAAATAGTCCTTTCAGTTAAAAGCCTGTCTTGTTCAATGGAGCAATACTTATATTTTATTTTACACAGCTAAAGTAACATTTATACAACAATTAAAACTTACCATTGCTGTAAGACCGAAAATTTCCTACAAATTTTATGTATTCATATGTTGGAAATTCCTTTGGGTTCAAACTTCCTCTCAGAAGATGACAATAAAACTCTAGTTCATTGTCAGCTGGATTGTTAAAAGAAGAAGAAGAAGAAGAAATAAATATACTATTTAAGCGAAACACAACCAACGGTGTCTTCCAACCCCAATCTTGCAACGGGCAGCACGAGAGCAGCTTGTTACTACTCAGAGTCCTATACACCGATGTGCTATACCTTGCAGGATCACAGCTTCTGCAAGGAAGCGCCTTGCAGGGATGCAGGTTGTTCAGCGCTGTGCACAGGTCCGCCTGCAGCTCAGGGACAGCCTTTGAGACGAACTCGCCCTTCTCTTACACCACCTTCATGGCAGGAGTTACGCTGCCATAACGTCGGTGTAGCGAAGGAGAGAATTGCATCCTTCGTTTATAGCTTTTTTTTTTCTATTTAGGCTTTTCATGACTCACAGCTGTTCTACATCTTGTGTTGGAAAACTATGCCTAATTACCTCAAAATATCTATTAAATTAACTTTGGCATATTAGCTATCAGCTGCAGGTTTTGTATATACAGTAGATTAAGCAGCTGTACGTCTTACATTAGCGTGTGTTTTCTGGTTTCCTACGCCTTACCTCCTAGAGTGAATAAGGGTGAGGCAAGTAAAAGGGCTTTTATGAAAAACAAAATTCACTTTGAAAAAGAATTACAATGATTTTACAGATACTTTTCAACTATAATGCAAACCAAAGGTGTGCGACATTAACATATCTCTGAGCAGCATCTTACTTGAATAGGCTGAAATATCAATTAAGACGTGATTTGTCTCAGGCGAACTCAGTTTCCATCGGCTAACCTATTTTCTTTAGCTGTCTCAACAGATATGATATTTAATAATTAACATAACTGCGAGTAGTCTTAGCCTAGTAAAATAAAGGCAATGAGTTTCATTTAAAAATAGTGCCAAAGGGTCATTCCAGGTGGCAAGATCTTTTTAAAAGGCTATGAGCCTAAGTTTTATATTGCACATCACATAAAAAACTCTTCATGAGCGAAAATTTTTATCCTGCCTGTGCTTTTTCATTTACTAGGAAAGATAAAAAAACCCTTACTTTTTAGGTAATCCGATGAGGCAGAATCCGTCATAAGCATACAAGAAGATAACATCTTATAAATTTCTGAATGTTCTTGTTCTGGGAGGAAATTTAGCAAATTCTGATCCAAGACATCACACTGCAAAGAAAAAGAACCTTTGAGAAAAATAGAAATATCACGACGAGCAACGCTCGCAGAGATGCGCAGCAATGCAGATACGAAGCCTGTGGCAGTCGACAGGAGTTTTCCCACTGATTTCAGGGACTCCTGACAAAGCCTAAACCAGGGGGGAACTGCCGGGCAAACCGAGCGGCCGCTTCTTCGTGGGCCGGTTCTCAGCTTAATTCTCAGCACGTGGCGATGCTCCTCTAATGTTTCTCAGAGACCGTCAGATGCACGGGGTATGTCCATACAATTAAATGATGGGACCTGGGAGTGAGCTGGAAAATGGGCGCCTGGCTCCCCATACTGCTCACCAGCTCCATGCACAGGGCTGTTGTGGATCATTGCAGCTTGCTCTCTCCTTGGCAAACCCCGACTAGTGGGAGCAAGCCGGGCTGGGAGTCGCCCTGAGCCACCGGACCCAAGAGCCGGGTCAGTCCCGGATCCAGCCCCTCCCTGGAGGGACCCCCTCAGCCTCTGGGAAGTGCCCTCGGGGCGGCAGCTGTTGCTCCCCCCTTCTTGCATCTTGACAGGTGGGAGCAGGGAGAAGGGGACTCCCCAGTCTGGACATCGCTTTGCAGCAGCAGTAGTTAGTCCCCAGGGAGGGGGACTTCACGGTGCCACCGGCACAAGCCCTCTGGCCAGCCATGGGCTGAATGCCTGAGTGTCTCCAGCCCCACGGTCAGCTGTCACGAACCTGAAATCCACCCAAAATCTAGGTACTGAGGTTTGGGAATGGAAGGAGGAGGTGGATTTGTGCGAAAGGCCACGACTGGCCCAGGGTGGAGAAGACAAGAGTCCGTCACAGGGTTACCAAGAGGAAGGTCTCACTGCGTTCAGCGTGGTGACTAACCGAACGCTAGAAGAGCGTATCTGAGAGGAAGTCCTGAGATCAAGTGACCCTTTAATGGCATTGACTTCCATCCATCCTACGTGAGACTACCCTGGGCCAAGCTGGCACACTGACACAGCTTCATGTGTCGTCAGAGCAGCTGCTATCAGACTGTATAGTCGTGCTGAAAATGTGTTAGCCCTGTATGAGACTGGCAAGTTATTAATCATCATAATTTATTTATGTATTTACTTAAGATTACGCTTTGGTTTCCCTCTGCTTTCCACCCATGCCTGCTGTTCTGTGTGGAATTCCTCTTTAGAGTAGTGAAATGCATGGAGTATACTTTGAAAATCAGAGTGCTATGCTTTATACACTTATCTTGATGCTATAATATATTACTCCAGATTATTCAATTGTAAGTATTACCTGTGCTCATTACTTGAATATTCCTTTTGTGACGAATACTTGAAAATTATTTTTGTGACTTTAGTATATACCTTATTAATATGCATCCTACTGATACTGTGTGTAATTCAGTTTTTATATATATGTATATAAACATATTTATATTTACATAAAATATAGTACATTGTTTGTGTAATTTTGGGCATATGAAGAAAGAGCACCTGATGGGAAACTGCAGTGGTGCAGTTTTTGTTCAAGGCTTATGGTACAATCTCAGAAAAGTAATTTTTCCTTCTCATTCCTTTTCTACCTCTAAATGTTAGATAAAGATATTTATCCACCAGTTTCCCATAAGTCTCATGGGGGTTAATTAATCTCCCGTCCACTCAGCAGTAGCGGCAGGAGGACTAGATGTGAGCTGTCACCGCTCCTCAGACACATTATTGCTTCTTCAGTGACCTGAGGATGTACTGCCTTTTGTCTCCATATTGTGACCAAGCTCTGATTCAAAACCTATTATCAGTTTTGCAGTGTTGTTTCCATTTAAGGGGATAGCTGCAGAGGCCTGCGACTGTGTGTATGGTAGGAGTTGCAAGGCTTTTGTCCCACACACCCCTCAGAGCAACCTCCGGCCCTGAGCACCAGCTATTCATCGATTTGCAAGTCCTGGCATTTATATTTTTTGCTGCCGTCATGTACCATAGCCAGAATTCAATGTTTGGTTTGCATCTTTTCTGTTAGGGAATGCCGATTTTTTTTAAATGAGTATGAAAAAAATGATAAGGTATCTACTTCTTACTGTGCTTCATGACTCTTGCCTCCTGCAGAAGTTAGGCACACCTGTAAAGCAGTGCACGGAACAGAACTTCTGGAACTTGTACATATCAAGACCCAACAATGTTCTTGAATCAATATGCCAGTCAAGAATATATCAACAGATCAAGTAGAGACAAGGAAGCAAATATTCCACAGTCTCACTGGAGCTGTAGGAAATGCCAGGCAAGCTAGTTGAGCAGAGAGAAGGAAGCAAATATTCCACGGTCTCGCTGGAGCTGTAGGAAATGCCAGGCAAGCTATTCAGAACTAATTCTGCACCAGACCCAAAGAGCAGACATCTGGTGCCATGGGAAAAAGGTGACCAGAGAGATGGACAAAATTTCATCACCACAGACAAAAATGTATCGGTTGGAGGGGACGGTTTGCAGCCCTGTCTAATTATTCTAATTATTCTGCAGCGGGCAGTTCTGCCCCGCTGGCAGACACAGCCACAAAGCATCGCTGAGTGAAACAGGCAAAGCGAATAAAAGATAAATGACGGTGGCTGTGGGTAGAGTGGTTAGATGAACTACGTTAATGCGTATTTATGCTGCTGAGCTTGGAATCTACTCTGCACCTTGGAATCTGTGGATCCCGCTAACAGAAACTTCTGAGTATTTACCCCTGATAGCTATGGCAGGCACAGAAAGAACAGCTTTGCATACATGGATGCTGGTCCGTTCTAAAAACAATACACAGTAAATTCACCCCAAGTTCAGCAATCATTTGATGTATAGCTTAAATATCTGTGCGGTTTCAACAAAACAGCTATACTCCAAAATGGAGCTCCTTCCTCACCTTTTCATTGCTTTTTGGGGGGGTGAGGAGGAAATATGATGAGATATTCCTGCTGCAGGGAAAAAAAGCAGGGGAACTGAGCAACATGGTCACTACAGGAATGGGAAGGTGGAGGGCTGCAAATGAGACAGGCTTCTTTCCCAGTAACCAAAAAAAATCAAGGTAGCTCTGCTCTCATGCGCTGGGATTTGGCCCCTATATCAATCTGTATATCCTGCAGTGATGCCCATTGCTACCCTGTAACAGCAACACAGCATGCAAAACTTTTGTACGCTATAAGGTGCTACGTGCTGGATTTTTCCACCCTGACATTTAACTAAAGCACCCAACACAGCAAAGCAGCTGCCTGAGCTTCACCTGTGAGTCCCTGGGGAGAATGAGCCTCCCCAGGAGAAGCTCAGCCCTGCCAGGGACCACAGCCGCCTCCCCGCTGACCCTCACGGAGCCTCGCATGGGCAGGCACTGAGCGCAGACCCCTCAGCTATGGGACTAAAGCTGGGTGAGATGGACACCACTCTCCCAGTCCATGAGCAGGTGCAGCACCCTCTGCCTGAGTCCGCGGACAGGCAACGTCCGTGAGAAAGCTGCATCTCCTCCTGTAGGTTGGAAATAGTCACTCTGCCATCCGTGTTTAACTGTTTCACTCAGCAAAGCAGGCAAGAAGGGACAGGGAGGACCCTCCTCCGGAGACCTGCATAGTCTTGGGGTTGTAGCGTACCATCTGACTGGCAAATGCTATGAGTTGTGACCAGATTTCCAGGAGTTCGCTTCACTTCAACTACAGTCAATCTTACCACGTGAGCTAAACCTCTCTTTACATCGACCGACCCTAGGAGTAGCCTCCAGATCTTGTAATAACAAACTATTTAGAATTACAACAGAGGAAGTTTGTGTTTGAAAATGCTCCGTGGAACTTAGGAAAGCTGTATTAAAGAGAATTGGGTATATTTGTTCTCAGTGCCAGAGTCTTTCATGATTTTAATGAAAGAAAGTATATCAGATTTCTTGATAGGGGCCCTCAGAGAGCCCTGCTCTGCGTTCTGCCCAGTTTTGCTTCCCTTTCAGTGCTCAAAGCAGAAGATTTGTGGAGTATTTTTTTTCCCTGCAGTCACAGAGGAGAAAGAATTGGTATGTTGTCCCTCAAACAGTGACTGAATTTAGCTTACAAATAGATCCTGAAGGTAAACAAAATAAGCCACATAGGTTTTCCAGATAGCACTCTGATCAGTTTTAAAACTTAAAAACACATATGGAAAAGGCAGCATGGGACTAAAATGCCCAGTGTGCACATAACTGCACACTCAGCTGGGCCCCTGCCCATGGCCGTAGCAATTTGCTGACCTCGGGCAGGCAGAAGCCTTTATTGCTTGCTCAGTTGTGGTCTCTGGGATGCACCCAGTCACTCCGCACGCGTGGGCTGGTGGGGCAGTTGTTAACCGTTACCACTCCATCAGCTCCAAGAAGGTCTCTGGGAACTCCCGCTCCACCTCCAGCCCCAGCAGGTTGGTCCCTGGCTTGGGCTGCTATGTGCTGCTTCTGTGCGAATAAAAAATAATGCCCATCTTTGTCCTCATTTTGGGGTGGATACCATGCAAGATTATCACAGAAGGCATGACTTCGGGAGGGAAAACTGGTGTAGTCTCTGGTGGTCCAACTCAGGAATTATGGACCTGAATCCATCCATGTTCAGCCAGAGCCTAATGTTTTAGGCACAGGGTCTGAAATGTGTCTTCCTGAAGAGCAATACTTTCCTGCAGCAGACCTACCGTCTCCACTAAGAATCGGTATTTGGAAGGGATAGCAAGGAAACTCCCAAACCATGAAAGACAGGGAAATCCCATGGAAATCAGTAAGTGTATGAAGACCCAACAGCCTGCATGCAGGACAGGGCTCTCTCTGCCTTTGAAGTGAAGGCAAATGTCAGAAAATAGTAAACTACTGGTTTTCTCAACTGTTGAGGATTAAAGAAAACTGAAATAGATAGATTCAGTTCAATCTGTTGTTGCATAGCAATATTCTTGCATTTAGCAGGAGCTGCTGCCTTTCATCAAGTTCCTTTCGTCTCAGAAGAAAATAATTTTTGTTCGTATTACAGCAAGGCAGTGTGTGTGAAATACATTTTTCTGGGTGGAAAACATAACACGTATTTGGTGAAAAAGTAAATGAGAGAAAAAGAATTGTCATTTTCTTAAGAACATGGTGAGGGGGTGGTACAATAAAGATTTGGCGGCTACTTTTTTCTCCTGGGCATGTATTCATTTGAGACCAAGCTACTAAAAATGAGTGTGAGGATTAATCCTTAATTATTGTGCCATTTCTCCTAGAGCAGCTTTAGCAACAGGAGCAGGGTTCAGAGCAGTCCTTCTCCCCTGCTCCTCCAGCCCAAGCCAGCGCACGCAGGAGTGTCTCGCACAGCAAGACCCAGCAGCCTGCAGATAAAACAAGCCCTACGTGCAGGACCCGAGCGCCGAGCATCGGCTGCACCAGCATCTCCCGGGAGCGGGGTGTGCTCCCCTTGGGAAAGCACAGCTGAGCTGCGGGGACAGCTCGGCAGCAGCCCCCGGCTAACTCTGAATTCAATGGGGTTTTTGTCCTTTACCTCCCTGGGAGCAGAGTAAGGACCTTAACAAGCTCCTCGCCGGGCTGCCAGCGGCACTGGTGCTATTCTCTGCTAGCTTAGAAATCAGAGATGGAAAAGATCAGCCAGGTCACCCTGTCCCTCCCCTGGCCAGAGTATTCCTGCAGAGCTTTTTCCATTCAAGCCGAAGTGCCTCATAGCAACAAAAACCTGAAGGGTATGAATCAGATGGAGAGAGAACAGAGCTGATCAACAGTAGCGGCCAGCATAACGCAGGGACAAAACCCCTCACCGCATTTTCAGGAAAACACCCCCTCCACCCCCACCCCCCTTTTACATCTGTTTCTAAAAAAGCAGGGGCCTCATCCTACGATGTGTAGTAGAAAAGCCAGTGCCAGAATTACTCACCGGTAAATGCCCTAGAAGAGGTGTGATGCTGTCAGACACGTAGATGATGCTTCCACCTGTGGTTACTGCTATAATGAAGCCATCTAATGCCTAAGAAAAACAGACAAGTGCTTTAATAGGAACGAGGGGTGTAAACAGGGCGTCTCATCACACGTTGATCAAAACAGTTTGACTTCAGCACCATATTGTTACCAAGTTGTAGGAATGTTATCTCAAGTTGCAGAACAGTAATTCTCTGATTTTACAGTCTGATTTAACTTTTACAACATTCTTTGTAGTCTAGTAAAACCTACTATTGAAGCAACAAAGGGCTCACAGGAACATTTCATGTCTCAGTTTTTAAATTAATCACACATTTTAATAATGCAAAATGACTAAGACTGGATCCCTTGGAAGCTATTAAAATGAACATTTGAGTTCTGTGTAAATATCAAAGGACGATGAAAGGATGCGGTCCTATCTCAAAATGGTACTTCTCTGCAAACCCCATAAATCGCAGTTTGTATTAATGTAACGTTGTATGTTACTGGGCTTTCATGTAAGTAAAAGCAATGCAAATGATCAAATAATCCTTAGCCTGAGTTTTAATTGAGTGATTTATTTTAAAGGTCATAGTATTAGATTACTCATTCCAAGAGAAATTCACCCTTCTGCAGAGTTTTTTCCTCACTTCGGTCCCACCTTGCGGTAAGCCCCTTCACTCCTAGGACTGAAGGAGAATGTCAGCCTTATCCCTATCCTCTGCACAGGAGCAATTTCCCCTTCAAAATTAGTTTCTTCTTCAGTCTGAGCTGCAAAGTTTTGAGCTAAATCTTCCTCAAAGTTAAATATAGGTAGATTTCCAGATCTAAAGCAACCTACTCTGAGCAGAACCCTCCCAAAAATTGTCAAGAGTAGGTGCTCGGAGACTATATTAAAACCTTCCCATTGTCATTAAGGAGTCACTGGTGAAGCTCCCAGTGCCTTCAAGTGGAGCAGGTCTGGGTCCTTCCTGTCAGTTCACGGGTGAGCTGGGGTCGGTGTTGCCTGCGGCATCTGAGCAGTATGGGCGCTGCAAGCGTGACTGAATCAGAGCTGAGTTCGACTATACTCCAGAGGCAATACCTGGTCAGGAGACAGGTGTACTGCAAACAGCCTGATCATGGTGACACAGCGTTACAAAACCTCACTGCAAACCCAGGCATGCCTCCAAGCCAGGCTAGCAGTTGATCCTGTGAGGCGCAGCACATCCTTCCCCCCTGCTGACTTCAATAAGGGAAAGAATTCTGAGAACACTGGAAAATGCTAGTTGTTTAAAAAAAAAAGGAAAACACAAAGCCTTGAATAAAGACACAAACATATGTTCCTTTTTCCAGAGAATGCTGAGCACCCACAACTATTTAAGTCAATGGGAATCTGCTGGTGCTACAATCCTTTGAAAAGCAGGTCAATAACTTAGACCGCAGTAGCAGAGTGTGTGTTTAGCATCTCTGAAAACCCCTCAGCTGCTATAGTTAGTTTGATTTTGTTAATCTAAGTGCAGAGAATATGTTTTTCTTTAGTGTAGTACATTCAAGCTGTTTTCTAAAAAGCGCGATAGCTGTTAGCCCGTAGAAGAAAGCAGTGGTTTTACAAGGCAGCTGGATTGTGCATGTTACTATGGTGAAGGTTGTTGGTTTTTTTAAATCAAGTCTTTATTTCATATCCAATGCAAATTATACAAAAAGTGACTCACATCAGTGAGTAAAATCAAGTTAATGTATGCATACATAATTCTATTTTTATTTACTCTCAACTGGTCCTTCCACATTAAGAGGGCATATCCCTCTTCAAAGATTTCACTACTGCAACAGTCCTAGATGGACAAACAGAGCCTAATACCCACTTCTATGTAATTTGATGACAGCCTTTTCAATGGGGTAAGAAAAGGCCATTTTCAGGAAAGCTGATATATTACCGCAGTCAATTATGCTCTGATTCTTTTGAATCAGTGCTTGAAAAAACCCTTCCCATCTTTTAATAACAGGACGGGAAAAACTTCAAGCAGTCTTGTCCAAACGTTAATAAGATAAGATTAGTAGAAAGGCAAAAAAGAAGAGAATGATGAACAGCTGGCTCAACAGGGCATCCCAATACCCAATGTTATCTTGAAGGGCATGGAAAATCACAGTAGCAAGAAGGTGATTTATAAGCTGGGAAACTAAAAGCAATTGTTTTAATCTAAGATTGTGTGGCATACAAGTAGAATCAACAAAGGCCCAGACAGTCAAGACAACTGCCAATTTATTGCTATCCGACGGAAATATTTCAGTGCAGACTGAAGGAGTTATGTATGTTAAGAGTTCCTGCACGCTGAGAGGGGAATGGGCGGTTGTCAGTGCAATGGGAGCAAAGCGTCTCGTAACACTGGACCAGGGGAGTCTCATCACAACGAACTGCAATGGCCGAGGGACTGCCAGCCCCTGGGGGCCAGCAACGTGCCCCGGCTTCATGCCACGCCTTGGCGGGCCAAGCTGCTCCCCAGCATCCCTCCCTGCCTGCTGCCAGGGCCTGGATCATGCCCCACGTTCACATCATTTGTGGGAGGAGGAGAAGCTTGTTCCCAAAGGACACTGTGGGGCCATGCAACCTCCATGTGTTTAGTACGGGAGAAGATCCTCGCTAAAGAAGGTTCTAGCTGTTACTGAGAGAGAAAAATACATTTTAGCAGCTCATTTGCGTTTCATCTCGAACCTACATAAACGCCATTGAGTCACCTCCCTTCAAATCCCAGCTAGCGTTAAAAGCATCTATGGTATAATTTAAAGGTAATTTAAAAACTATCATTGCAAAATAACCCTGCTCCTTCTTAGAATAAAAAGTGTTTGACGAGGGCCTTGAAAACCATTAGAGTGGAAGTATTAACTGCATCAAACCAAGAGGAGCTGTCAGGTTTTATCTGCTTGTACAGCACCTAGCACTAGAGGGACGCGACACTGTTGCTTTTTAGGTGCTAGTCTTGCATAAATATTAGGTAATAACGCCTTCCAAGAACAGGAGAAAAACTGCCACGTGCCCTTTTCCTCACCTCTGTTTGTAAAAATAAAATGTAATCTGTGATTTGAATCTCTCCCCTGGATTGCATTTCTTGGGAGTCCCTGCGCAGCTTTGCAGGCTGCAGCAGCGCGGCGCGATGGCACCGTTGAGAGTGAAAAGCAACATGCGGGGACTCTAATCCTTTGTCCCAGTGACAGCTCCGCTTGATGGTCAAATACAGCAGTACCTGAAATCTCCTCTTTTGGAACTGCAGATGACATTTTATTCTAGACGCATGGGCATTTCCATGACTGCTAGACAAAATTAGGAAAGGCATATATGCATGTTCACCTCCAACATCAGCTGCGTGAATTCTTCATTGCTGAGAAACGAAGGCTTCCAGTCCTGCTGAATTTCAGAAATCTCCGTCTGTGCCGAGACTTCTAGACGAATAAAACATTTCATTCTTTTAAATTCGAAAAACCTTGTATCTTGCAAGCCTATATATGAGTTGCTATGAAAAGACAGCAATCACCTTTATATTCAAAAATTGCAGTTTTCAAGCACGCGTTTTGCATACAGAGACAATAACGATTATCTAAACCGGGCCCAATCCTGAAACGTTTTCTTCTTTTTTTACCTAGCTCAGCTCGAACTGACTTCAGTGGGAGCCTGTATTCACATAGCTGTTGACCTCAATCAGCCTTATTTAGGTATTGATCAAAAGATAAAACCACGTTGCATGAAATTAAAACCAAGGCAAGGATTAGCACATGTCAAATTGATATTTACAATTTGCAGCTTCAAAATTAGGATGCCAGAGAGCTAGGATTCAGCCTACAGTTCCTGTGTCAAATAGGGAGCAGCAAGAAAACTCCTTCAGAGGAGCCCCAAAAGGCCGTGACCCCAAACAGCAGAGGTATTGCTCTGTTCTCCAAAATGCAAGCGAAACATGAGTGTTTGCACCAGCCTTGCACTGGAGCACCGGCGCCTCATCCCAAATCCTCTCCGGAGGGGAGGGCCTCCCGTGCTGTCAGTCTATGAGACACCAGGGGGGTTTTGCCCCGCTGTTGGCCAGTCCTGGCCCCGCAGCAGCCTGAGGACGCTCGCTCCCCGAGGGCTTTCCGTGGAGGGGTGCAAGCGCACGGGGGTAACAAGTCACGGCTTCACACTGAAACTGGGGACCGTACCGGGGGTAGCTGGATGCTCCGTGGTGAGCTGTTTCCTTCAAAAAACAGCCACCCATGTTAGCTCTACCCTACTAATGCATTAATAAACTTGTCAGACAGTGTTATAGGGGTCAGATCTTATAATTTAGAGAGACTTGTGCTGGTTTTGTTCACTGCTTGGTCTGCTTGTCCAAAAGCGCTCCCTCGTTCAGCACTACTAGTGAGGGGATGCTGAGTGCAGCCTGTCTTCTCCTTTCGGCGCTGCCTGCTAATTAATCCTATCGATTAACACTTCCAGAGCATGTAATACCCAACGCTCCCTATTCGGAGCACACAGGCAAACTGGCCAGAGAAATGCAAATGGCTAAATTATATTCAAGACAGTAAATTTATACCAGTGCCTGTGCATATTGTCGCCTAGAAAGAAATCAAAGCCTCCGTTCAGGCTTTATTAGTGGAGATGCAGCCGTCTGCTTCTACCAGCTCATTCAACTCACCTTCTGCGCTGCTGGGGGCTGCCACTGATAGCACGGATAGCACGGCCTCCCCACAGCCCCCATGGTCTTATACAGAGACTTCAAAAATGGAGTAAGGAAAAAGAGAGAACAGCCCCAATCAGATTTTTATTATATAGTCTCAGAATATAGCATACTTTCAGCAGATCCGGAGCTTGGAAAAGCTGACATACACAAAACAGCGACCGTTTGAAGAATTACTTGAGATGTGGGAGATTCTCTGGATTATAAAGAAAGAGGCTGTTTATGGAGCAAAAAAATCTGAAAATTGACCTCGTCCTCCGTTATAACTAAAATCTTGGTTTAGCCTACTAAATGAAAGGGAAATACAACTGAATAAACCAGATCCAAAGTACGCTGAAGATAATCAACATTTTTAAACGCTGATGCTTTGTATTATATATTGTGTGACTACTAATCTAGTTTAAAAATAGATAACATTTGCTTTTTTTAGCAAGTGCACAAAAACCAGTCACAGTTTGACCCAATTGCTGTGGAAGGATTTGTGACTGTGAGCTTTCTTTTACCTAGTTGTTCTTCCAGAAATGAAGTGCCTTTTGGAGTAACTTATTTGGGCTATCAGCTACACTTGTCTACACTTATTCAAATCTCATGTGATTGTTCTTTGCTTGGCTTTATAATTGAACATATTCACACCCTCCTTTACTCTGCCTTGGGCAGCTAAAAAAAAAAAAGATGTTATTACTGTCATTGTTTAATAGGTATATACAATTATTAAACTTTGAGATGTCCTAGTCATGCCCTCCTGTATGAAATCATCTTGTCTGTGGAAAAAATTGATTTAAGGAGAAACTGCGCTCTAACAACAGAACCACTATAATTATTCCCTCAATAAGTTTGACATTTGTGATTCCATTATGTTGGGACTCATGATATAAGAGCTTTTATGGTCTTTTCCATTCCACCCAGAGCTCTCCAGGGAGTGAGGACGGGAGGTGCTGGATGAGAGAAGGCGAGCCTGGTGATGCGGTGCAGCAGCTCACAAGAGCCCTTTCTGCTTTGTGGGACCAGGGACGTTCCCCACGGTCACCCACTGAAGCCTCTTCCTCACAGGGGCAGAGCAGGAGAGCCCCATTTTAAACCAGTGCCCTGATTTGTAAGGGAGAAGCGTTTCAATTGTCCACTGCTGGAGGATGTCCATGCATCAGGGAGCCCGCAGTGCCCGTTCCTCTCACCGATTGGAAACTAGACCAACCAGACTAGATCCGCAGGGTCAGAAATCTCCTCTGCCCTCTGTGAGGGCACATGTCTAAAGGACTTAACTGTCACTGCTGCGTGCGTTTTAAAAAATAAACTCCTGGCTTTCTGAGGCCAAACTTTACTATTGCAACTGCATGCTGTGGAAATGTGACATAGCTTCTGCTTGTGCAAACCGGGTGAAGCACGTCAGCTATCTGTGGATGCAATTTGCTGAAACCGACTTCAAAAACTGGGGCCTTTTCTGGTCTGAGTTTTCTGCTCACTGTGGAAAATTGAGTCTTACACAGTCCACTGAGGAGCAGGGGGGGCTGAACAGATTGCTTCCCTGCATTTTTCTGCAGAGAAGCTGGGGCAAATGCTTTGTTATTCTGCTCAGAATACTGCAGATTTCAAGGAGGGAAATCTTCCCTCCAGCCCCAAATCTCTCTTGTTCAAAGCATCCCTCTTCTTCACATGTGCTGCAGGGCACTGCTGCCCACCTTCCCTCGGTTCCTGACAGTCGCCCCCTTCTCTAGCAGGTTGAGAGTCATCTCAAAGAACAGCCAAGAAGCTGGATTTGGGCAGCACAGTGCCTGCAAATGATCTTTTTAGATGAGATAGAAAAAACCAACCACCTTATGTTGGCACTTTTAGGCCCCTTGAGCCATTCTGATAATAACTGAAGGAAACAGGATATTGTAGTAACCGTCTGGCAAGTTCATGAAGAGCCACAATAAATCTTACCATTGTGTTTCTGCAGAAAGCCAATGACTTTTTCCAGCACAGTAGTTTTGTCCATTTTGCGAGTGTTGCCTGGAAGCATGGAGCTGAGCTCTTTGATGAGAACATTGAACTGATCACGCCTCTTCTTCTCAGACTTGTTACGCGAAGCCCTGTAGACAGGGGGAAAAAAAAAGGATGAGCAGATCAAGAGGAAAAATCATCATGTACCTCCTCTTTGGAGTGTATACACATGGAAATTAGCTTGCTGTGTGCCTCAGCATGTGAAGATTGACACTGGCCTCCAACAAAGCTGCAGAGACAAGTAGGAAGCGACTGTTCCTACCTCCTGCTCTTGTCTTTGGGCCCCCTTTAGAGTCCAGCGGGCAGATGGAGGCTCTGCTCTCCCTTCTGTGCTGCCTCTGGACACTCTGGTCGAGCCTATCAGGTCGGCATTAAGCCTGTAGGTGAAGGAGCTCTGTCCATCTCCTAGGCATGCACAGGATCTTGAAAGTTCACGCAGCCTCTGAGGAGGCACTCAGAGCAAGAAGAAATAGAAATGCTGTGACAACAGTAAAACCGTCCATAAAGGAGGAGAATGGGGACTGGTAAAACTATATGGGTCATACCCATCTGTGCAGTCTTAACAGGAGAGAGGGACCGTGGTCCTGCAGCTCAGCCATTGCACTGGAGCTGGGTCAACCTAAAGGACCTGCCCGCTTTGGTCACAGGTCCTCTGGCTACCTCCAAGCTGGCTTACAGAGAGGAATCGGGCTGTTGCCTTCTAGTCATTAAGATCAGGGACCTGAGCAGAGGTTGCTGCAGCTCCCGTCTAGTTCATATGCCACCTAGTTCAGTCTCCCTTCCAAGGTGACAAGGGCAAGCAGGAGGGAGGGCATCAGCATGTCTCATCTCAGCACAGACTGGGTCTGAGGCTGGGATGTGTTCCCAGACCTGGGGGCTCAGAAGTGTTAGCAGGGGTCCCCCGCTTGCCCCTAATCTCTGTGTGCCACTGGGCAAATCGCTTAAGGTCACAGTGCCCCGACTCTTCAGGTGTAATATGGGGACTCTGCAGCTTTCTTCACCAGTCTTGTCTGTTTAGCTTGCAGGCTCCTCAGAGAGAGCCTGCTTCTGCTGCTGTGTGTGAAGAGCTCATAGGAAGAAAGGATCTGATTTCATTTGGGGTGTTTTGGCACCCTCATAATACTGCCATTAAGGCTGTTGATAATCCTTTCAGCGTGTGCACTTTATTTTTTTTAAATTATACGTCAACCTATACACGAGCAAGTGTTTTCTGAATTGTTCCCATGAATACGACAATCATTCTACTTGGAGGGTATCATCCGGACTTCTGTAGCCATGTGAAAATAGAAATAAATAAAACCCAGAAGGTTTGTCTGTTCTTCTGAAAGGTCCTCAAGCAGACGAGATTTGCCTTGTTAATTATGTAAAGATCTAAGAATATGGTTACATGTAGACAGGAAAGAAAAGCCAAGAGGCCGGTTCTCACTCCGAGTTTCTCAGTCCCAGCTAACTCTGCTGTACCTCATAAGCAGCTCTGGATGCACACTGCTGAAAATCTGAGCAAAATTTAGCCCAGCATCTACATCCCCCCCCAAGGACCAGGTTGGCAATAAACATTTTCAGCAGAGAAATCACTACAGAGGCTTCTGGATGTTACTACTGACAGAGAGGTAATTTTTGTTTGTCTTGCTCTCAACCCTGAACACACTTGGAGAGACACTGGATAGAAGCCAACACTTGATTATTTTACAGCTTTGAACACAAGAGATTGGGTGGATACTGCCTGACTGATTTCAGCCTGTTCTTATTACAGTGCAAAAGGCTGTCAGAACAAGATGTGAAAAGCTCCAGCCTTATCCTATTTCTGTACAGTTCAAGGGGACGTTAAGAACATCAACATTTTACTTCCTCATAATTCAATCCTCAGTTCATTTTAAGCTTAAAGGGTCTTGATCTCCCTGAAAATAAAATAAAACACCAACCGTCTGTAGGGAAAGTGTTGCTTTTTCCAAAAAAAATAAAGATGCCTTGACAGAAATAAAAAGTATCTATTTTTATCACTTGACATTTTATTCACAAAGGAAACATAAAAACTCCTCTAGCGGAAATAACTCTACCAAGATCTGAATCGATGGTCACAGTAAAATCTTAAAAAGGAAAAAAATGAGGATAAACCCCCACAATTAGGTCACGTAAAGTACTCCTGCACAGTTGTAAATGCTTTGTTCAGTCCAGTTGTAAATGTCTTAAATAATGCAGTTTTCATCACTTCCCTTGGAAGATTATTCCCTAGCCTTGCTTGCTTCACTGCTAGGGCATATCATTTACAGTAAGCCAAAACAGTCTCTGTCTTAATTCCATACTATTCGTCCCAGTTCTCCTCCCTCCTCACTACTCAAAAAAACCCACAGCATATCCAAGGGGAAGAAGGAGACACAGTATGAATAAAATCTGGATTTTTAGTGAATACAGCTAAAGGCAATACAGGACAGCTTGAATTCAGAATGATCAAAATCACCCATTTAAAATGTGTTCTAAATAGCCATTTTTATTCTCTTACATATTTGCTGCTTGTTGTCTTAAAGACAGACTGATACTTGCTGACTAGTAGCCATTACGCTACGCTGATTGACAATGAAATGTGGCTTTACACTAAATTTCATATTTCTTTTTGCTGTCTGGGTGGGATACGTTATATACGCATCAAAGCAAGTAACCATACCACATACCTTAACTCAGATTCTTAAATTTACTTTCTACTGGAGAGGAAAATGGCAGGTGATAGTCTTTATTTATTAAGCGCTTACTTACCGTTCATTTCAAGCTGGTTTTGGCTGGAATTTGGAATTCAACTGAATTGCAAAAAAATGATTTTAAAATAATTTACTATTAAAGCAAACTAAAAGAAAAGCAGATAGAGAAAAAAGTGCACAAAGCACGCTTTTTGTTTAAAATTAATAAATCTATAAAACAAAGTAAGCCTCATCTAGCATCAAAGAATTTAAAATAAAATGATGGTATCTGACCTCCAGAAGATCAGTAGACAAAACTGGTATCTGACCTCCAGAAGATCAGTAGACCTCAAAGAGGTCCTCGATGATCCCAAGTGTGGTGCCATCATATCCACATTTTAGTCCTCGGGTCTTTGGACTGAAGAGTCCATTGCCTTAGGGCGATGCAGAATGGGGCTCAAAATAACCAATGTCGTGAAGGAAGAGCTATGCATCTCGGCCAAATACAAAACACTTGGCCCAGGCGTGGGAGTGCAGGTGCCTCTCCTTGGGAGAGGATGGACCCTCTTCTCAGCATGGGTGGGATGTCTGTGTAATACAACCTGTACCTGCCTAATAAATTGCAGCAGACAGCAAATGGTTTGTGTGTGTTAGTCACACTTCCAACTTGAGAAACCCAGCTCCTGGCTTGGGTCCATCCCCAAAGAGTTAGATCCAGAAAGTTCCAGTCTCACCTACTTTTTACTCAGAAAAGGAAAGAAGAGAACAATTTTCTTGGCTTTTTCACCCCCTCTCGTGTTTCTCAGCACTGAGGGACCAAGTCCTTATACCAAATAGAAGAAAACAAAGAAAGCGTTTCCCCTGCGGCACAGGACAGGTAAGAGTCCTCGGTTTTCAACACACAACAGTAAAATGTTCAGCCAATGGCTTCTCCCAAGTTTGACTCTCTTTAAAGCTGTGGAAGAAAACCTGTAGCTTTTAAATGAATTTGAATGGTTTTAGTATACTGTAGTAACTTTAGACGTTCATGAAGCCTCTCGTGATTTCAAACTTAATTTCAAATTTAGATAATTTAGATTTATTTCTCAAACGTACATTTCTAAATGTACTTAAATTACAATTTAAAGAAGCAATTTCCTTTTTTCATTTTCAGAGTTATCATTTTTTTATCCACCTTGATATGGGCCTGCCCCAGGGTATGACAAAATTTCCCTCCAGGAACAAATGGCATGAAAACCATACCAGATGGTGATGACAATCGCTGATAGTGAGGATACATGTTATCCTATTTTTGTCTTATATGGATTCATTTAATGCATTTTTTTTTAAACAATATCATGTTTAATGATATCACAAATGATATGAAATGATAAGGTTTAATGCTAGCACACAAATATCTTGAAGATAATCAGGCCGTAAGCACGTGAAGCGGCGACGCAAGGTGGGCTCCCTTCCCCTGCTCCCCCCTTCCCCGATCCCGGGGCTCTGGGGCAGCATGACGCCTCCCGCTGTGCTACACCCTCTCCGAAGAAGCGTCTCTTTGCGATGCGGGGTGGTGGCGGGAGGCATCCCTTCCCCAGATCCACCCCCTCCCCCGGCCCCAGGTGCCTGCCTGATGGGGGCAGGGGGTTGGGCAGAGCCGCAGGCAGAGAGGCTGGCCCTCTCCCAGGCACGAAGCCCCCCGTGAAGAGCGGCAGCAGCGCGGCTCCGGGGGCTGGCGGGCCCCTGGCCTCAGCGGATCACCCCTCGCAGGCCTAAGGGGAGGCAGTTAGGTCAGCGCTTTGCTCCCGGTATCAAAGGCCGGCCTTCTGCAGCTTGAGCATGCACGTGTTAAGAGGAGGGAGCCAAGGGGAACTGTTGAGCTCGGTTGCAGCCTGTGCTGACCCATATTGGTGAGAAAAAGCTGCGGGGAGGAAAGAAGGGGAGAAGGAACCAAAAGAGATGAAACTGGATCAACTAGTTGTGCCTGGACTGGAAATACTGTCATTAGAGGGAACCAAGGGGACAAATGCGGGCAACCCACGGCTCCCTCTAAAGCAATTAAACTGCGGGCTGCGGTATTAGAATCATAGAATCATAGAATCACTGACGTTGGAAAAGACCTCTGAGATCATTGAGTCCAACCATCGACCCAACACCACCAGGCCCACTAAACCATGTCCCTAAGTGCCTCATCTACTCGTCTTTTAAATACCTCCAGGGATGGTGACTCAACCACTTCCCGGGCCAGCCTGTTCCAATGTGTAACCACTCTTTCAGTAAAGACATTTTTTGATATTGATATTTGATATTGATAACGTGTCCAGAAAAAAAACCCTCAAATGCTTCCAAACAGCTTTTCTGCAGATGCCAGTCAGATCTGACAGTTATTAAGAGTTTTATTGCCATGGGTATTCTGCCTTGAAACACACCCTTCCCCTCCCCACAAAGTGTTCGCAACAATTTCTCACCAACTGGGACTTGATGATGGAGTGCAGAATGTGTGAATAAAGGTTTGTGCCAGTTTAGAGCTGATACAGCACTTTTTGTGGTCTTTCTCTGCTCTGAAGGTAACTTCTGGGTGTTTTCATTACTGTGAGATAGGCATTGCTGAATAAATGACCATCATAATAGGGAAAAACCCCACTCTTTTAGTTCTTTTTCTTTTGCAAAATGCTTTTTGTAAAAACCCCACATTTTTATACACTCAGGAAGCTTGGATGATGTAGTATAGCGGCAGGAGTACATTGTTGGTTCTTCAGTTCTTGTGTTCTGCAGTAATGTGAAGAAAACGATCAATGCCTTGGCTTCTTTGACATTTTCCACAGGAAACATTGCTACGTTATTTTCTTCTTACAGGGTAGCCAAGAATAGGAATCTGTGAGATTGCAGGTTTTCAAGTTGTACTTGGCTGTATTTTACTCTCTCTCTCTTCGATTAATTGATTATGGATAAAAGAGCTTCTGCAGCAACAAACAGTATCAAGCTCATCACAAGTTAAACAGAGAGTTATAAAAGAAAAAGTGCTCACCTCTTTGCCCTGTCTTTCTCATCTTCATCCATTAGATTGTCTAAGCAGTTTTTTCTGTTGAAGGAATGCGAGAATCATTATGAAATGTCATTTTGTTAGCTCTACTGCAGGTTAATCTCAGAGTCGCTCTATTTCATTTTAATAACAGAGTGATGAAATCCAGGTCAGATAAATGTGTCAGCAGTGCTTTATGCCACAGTCCTTTATTTTAGAAAACATCCATTGTGGATAATGATGTTATTCCTGAGCGTCATGCTAGCCTTAGGGGCTCCAGCCAGGGATCAAGGCTCCCAGGCACAACATGGTGCACCAGCACAGTACAAAACCAGTCACTTCTTGGGGAATTTTTCGGTGTGGAGGTTACTTTCTGCAAACTTGCAGGCTGGATGAACCCTGGGGTCTGCCCAAGTTGAAAAGGCGTTTTCAGCGGCTCCAGGTTCCCCACAAAACCACCCCCAGTGCAAGGGCTGGCATCACTGATGCCTCTGACTCCTCAGGTGGAGCTTCCTACTGGGAGGCTCTTTGTCCTCCTCTGCGGGCCCTGACCCAAAGCCCAAAGAGGCAGTCGTAACTATACTGAATTACACCCCAAATTCAAAGTGTCCTCATAAATCCTGCTGCCTAAGCCGCACTGTGAAAAAAACCTTCATGTAGCCAGCAATGGCCGACAGACCGCCTGTCTGGTGGTGCCAGCACCGAGCGTGGGGACCCTGTCACTCTTTTTGCTAATCTTCACCAAAACGTTGTGACCTGCCGTCAGGTTTATAGTCCAATTGCTCCGGCAGTTTGAGCTGTAAGGAGAAAGTACTCTGAGCATAAGATGTGTTCATAAAGCCACAGAGTAAAAGGGGGTAAATTGGGTAAATTAAGTAAATTGGTGTAGGCAAGGCAACGGGAAAAATACAAGAGCAGCCCAGCTGAAGGCTGAGATCCTCAGAAACACTTGTCACCAACTCACTGCCCACCCTCCTCTTCTCCGTGGCCTTATGAGAAAGCGATGCTTGAGCCCTAACCACTTCAGCCCGAGGAGGAAGCCCTGTGCTGCTGCAGCCTCTCACGGCACCTCGTGCCCATGTCAGCCACAAAAGCCGCGTGCTGCTGCATCCCCCACAAATTTTTTCCGAACTGGCAGCACAATGCTTCTACAAACCCTGGATATTGTCAAAGTGTCATTTTCAAAGCGACAGTGTAATGACAGGCAATGATAAAACTCGTTTTCAAAAATCAATGGTTCTCATTTAATGAGTCCTCAACACGTAAGACATGAATAAAACTGGAGGGGGGGAGGAGGGAAGTTAATTGCTATGCATTATTTAAGCCCATGGTATTTTCCACATACGAGTCACACAGGAATTTGCCTGTTTAAAGAACATTTTATGAAAAAACAGGAGTGAAAACTTATTGATAGTAAGAACAGTGGATAAATTCCCTCCTTCTGCTATTAGTTCTCTTACAGCAATATTCCACCTGCTCATTACTCAACACTTAGCTAAGAATGTGAAACTACCCTGTAATTTTTTATCAAACATAAGAGTAATGAGGAATTAAAGCCACGGGTCACTGATTGGAGGGTAAAGCTTCTACTTCATGGCATTCAGCTCTTTGATGGAGGAGCATAAATAGGAAATATGAAGGCCAAGGGACTGGCTTTTTTGCTTGCAAAACAGACAAGTCAGCCATATCACAATCCATATTTTAGACTAGGAAAATTTACAGAGCCAGTTAAATTTTATTTACCAGTATTTTACAAATACTTTAGGTCATTATTCACCCAGTCCCAGAATCAGGCTGCTAGCCCAACAAGTGTGTTTTCAAATAATTCAGGCTAAAATCTAGTGAGAACATTTAGTGGTTTTCATTGTTATTTGCTCACATTGCAACCGAAATGTTCAGCTATGTTATTTGAGAATAAAAAAGGCATCAATAATATGGCAAGGGTTAGCATTTAGGATTTTGGTGTCTTTCTTTGCTAGACCTTTGCTCAAAATGCTCTGTTGCATGCACCCTTGTTGAATCTAGGATAGGACAAGTGAAATGGGGCAGCGTCAGAAGAAGTTGCTTTCTCTGAATCCCTGAAGATCTTCCTTTACTGCACCAAGGCCTCCTCTGGCTGTAACTGATTCCCAGTAGAAAGCAGAAATATGGGGATGAGAGCTCTGGGTGGCTCTGGGGAAGGATGGGGGTGGATGGGGCAGTCAGTATCAGTGCCGCTCAGCCCCGGCTGTTTTACAGAGGCAGAACATAGCTAATGGAAAGGGGCTTCCTACAGCTGTACTCTATAAACCATCAAGGAATTACACTGCTGTGAAGCCTTATGAGAGATCAACAGGTCTAACTGGTCTGTTCTGCCAAGGATTTGGCTAGATCTGTAAAGCAATTCATGGCCAGCTTCCAGTAAACAAGGTTTCTCACTGACTGACATAAAATTCTGGACCCGCTGTGCTGTTGCTAGTGTTAGACAATACCTAATTGTCTTTTTGCTTCTGTTTGCTCAGACGGCAAAATCTCCAGAGCATCATAAGCATTGCTAACAGCATTTGCCAGTACATACGTACCATATGAAATTAAAACTGTTCTCGATAAAACAGGTATGGCAGAGTATACAACTGTTGCAAACCGGTACTGCCATCCCTCTCCTGAGCCACACCAGATGCTGGCTTACACCTGGAGGAGAAACCCATGGCATGGAGCTTAGGTATGTGCTTAATACAACCTGTTTGCTTTATGTTAGTCTCCCAGACCTTCAGCTGGGAGGGTCCCAAACAGCACACTGGAAATCTACTCTTCTATCCCCATCAGTGCCTGGTTTAGGAGGCAATTCTGGCTCATTGCAATGACAGAGGCAGGCAGTAATTGCCATGGCTCTGTGCCACGGTTCCCCTGCAAAGACATGACATAAAAACAAGCAGCACAAGGATTTCTCAGAATTTGAACAATCCTTTCATGCTAACAAAGAGAATTTGGAAACCTACGGGTAAGAACAACATGATGTAACTCCTGCCAATGGAGTATTTAACACTGACAGTTACATTCAGAGCTTCATTAATGTCATCGTTATCAACAAGGAATGAAGAAGCTACCACTCAAAAAGATGGGAACCACTTGGAATAAGGAGGAGAAAGCTCACGTACTCCCATCACGATGGTACTCAGACAGACATACAGAAAGATGCATACCCACAAGCAGGCAAGAGTGGCATTTTGGAAACAAAAGATTGGCTAAAACTATTAACTGTGTACCCCTGGCTTAGTTATCAGATGGAGAATTATAGCACAAACATCCCCCCCACATTCATTCATACAATGAATAGTTGCTTGGGAAAGAAGTAATTCAGGCAGAGTGCCCACTCGCTCCAGGGACTCTCCAGAAGAAAGATTGCATATGTTTATTTTGATACAGTCTATTCCCAGTGGACACAGAGCTTGCATTATAAAATTCATCTGGCACTGATCACCTTATCCTGCACTGGAAACATGTTTTTTAGTGAGTTATACTACTACTCTTCTGTGTGGGTGAGGTTGGTTTCTCTCCTTCCTGCCCTGCTGCTCATAAGGATACACTATAAAATGACTGACACTGAAATGTAAGTACTCAGTTGTTGATTTCCCACTAAGTTGCCACGTGGCCAGCTAATCTCACTTCCTACAAATCAGCCTGACATTTAACAAGAATTTTAATCATATTTGTTTAACTCAGCTGAATTATATCAGAGATGTAAATCTCCATTAGAGGTCCTGAGATGTGCCTGGGGAAGCCTGGTGGGAAATCACAGTGTTTGTGCTCCTCTGGCTCTATGTTGGGCAGCTGGGGGGAAAGACTGGGCTTTTCCTCCCCTTCCCTCTCCGGCATGGTGGGGTGTCTGCCTCCACCACGCCACAGGCCTGCTTGGGCTATTCAGCCACTTGTCCTGTACAGGGCATGCTCAGCCCTGGGGAGAGGGGTGCTGCCTGCCATACCCTGGTGTTGCTTCCCACCCACTACAGATATACCTGAGCCCTCACTCGGACCTCCCCCTCAGACCACTTAGGATGCTGGTACAATACCACCATCCTAAGTAAAGATTATGATATTGCACTTGGAGAACAATCCTCTCACAGACAGGGGATGGGCAAGGGTTGTACGGAAAATTGGGACACTGGGAAGAAACAGCTTGAACTACCTTCTGGCCTCTGGGCAGAACCTCCCCAACAACTGTTAACTTTGTGAGGAGGGAAGAAAAAGAGCAATAGGGTGGAGGGTAGACATGCCCCTGTGCCTTCCAGACACATCGCTCAGCCTCCACTGCCCATCTTTGCTGCGCGTTACTTCTGCAAGACACTGAGTGCTGCCTCAACAGGGAATTATTCTCCAGTTCCCTCTTCGAAGGAGAGGAAAGAGGCTGTTAGTGCAGAGCTCGGTGTTATAAAGGAGGCATGCGGGTATGTTTGGTGGTTCAGGATTTAAAGGCCAGATCCACCCATGCACAGCATCCCGTGCACAGTGAGTAGGATCTAAGACATAGGAAGAAGGCACCGAAGGGGAGTACAGGCTCTGGGCATGAGCCAGGGGGGACAGTTTTTGGCCACTCACTAGCACAGGGGACAGTGTGGCTGGGTTGTTGCGCTGGCACCACTGCCAGGTCCCCTGGCTGGGGACGATGGACAAGGTCTGACGGGCGCTGTGGTCGGACAATGGTGTTGTCTCATGGGTGCTCCACAGTGTGGGTTAGATGGGCACTTGCCCACACTGGGGAGCACCACTGTGGCTTGGCACTAGCAGCTGTACCCGCTTCTTCTCAGCTAAGGCAGAGCTCTGAAATGAAGTAAACCACACAAGTGGCTTACCAAACAAGTAAAGTATTTCCCTTCCAAGCCTTGCTGGGGGGCAAAGAGAAAGATTAGCAAATGGGAAGCGGCAGGAAAGGTCACAGGGTGATAGGCAAGAAGTGACCATCTGACTATGTTAAACACCTGGTTCCATGTTTCTCTGACGTGGATGAAGCACTCAGATATCCCACCGTGAGGGTTATGGCGTGAACACACAGAGGAAGGATTTGTATAAACACAAA